ATTTTTTTCTTAATTTAAATTTCAACTTTTTATTAGATTAGAACTACCATCAAATCAACGAACTCAACTGATACTCCGGTCGTTCATAAAGTCACATAAATTTAGAGTTAACTCGTACCGTCTCGTACCTAACTCAACTCTACTCTAACTCTATTCGGAGAAAACTTTATGAACGCAGCCCCGCAGTGGCTTCTCCCCCGCAACGTTATGCTCTGTCCCTATATTTCTATGTCCATGGTTTTGACAGAGCGAAAAAAGAATGAAAAGAGAAAGGCATAGTCTAGTAACTGCCATATTTCGCGTATGCGCACTCCATTTTAGGCAACACTTACATCAAAGGTGCCGACAGAGAGTTGCGCTACTGTATATACTGTGGCGATTATATAACTAAATGAGCGGAAAATGAAATTACCAAAAATGAGAACTAACCTCTTATTTATCTTGTAAATTACTGATAGATAGTAAACGGATAAAGCAATAACAATGAATAACTATTAATAAATATAATATCGATGTATAATTATGAGTAACGTGATAATAGTGAAGTAAATATTTATCATTTATACTTATAAAAATCTATATAATCTTAGAAATATCATCCCAAGGAGAACAAGACAATCAAAATAATGTCAATTTGATGTCATATTAACGTTATTTTAATTGTTTTGTTCTCCTTGGGATCATAACTTTAGAAACTAGAAACGTTTCTTGCATCTCAATGTTCTAGTTACTTCGAGTCACTAAACTTTCACCTTTCCGCCAGCAAACTTGATGGCGGAAAAATTCACGTGAAAAATTTCACGTTTCAACGTTTCGCCGAGTTCTATGGGTATCGATCATGAAACTTTTTCCCTGGAATGAAAAGTGAAAAGTGAAAATTTTTATCATTGAAGTTAATGGAGAAATTTTTCACTTTTCACTTTTCATCCTAGGGAAAAAGTTTCTTGATCGCTGCCCAGTATTATAATAGTGTTTTCTCTTGGCTGCACCAGTGTAGGATGATTGCACCAGTTCATCTTTTTTCCTTTTCCCTTCTCCTGTAGAGAAAAGGAAGATAGATGAACTAGTGCAAAAGTTCAGCTGAGTGTTGCACTGGTGCAGCCAAGAGAAAACGCTATAAGTTCTATGAGTGAAACAAATATACATTTATTTCATTTGAACTTGTTGCACTGTGTGCACTAGTTCAGACAATGTAGGAACAAAAAACAAACCCTAGATTGAAGATTTTGCAATGGATTGGTATCACTGAAGAATATGAAATAAGTCTTAGGTTATGTTAAATTGGTTTACTTGCTTTGAGTGTTTACGCCGGTTGCCTGTGTGAAATTGTAAAAATGAATAAAAAAAATGGAAATATAATTAAAAATGACGATGAAGAGGGAGAGATGGATTTATGTAAGAAGGTAATGAATGGCATCGCTTGCAAAGAAGATCTATATCAGTTTTTCGAACATAATGACCAGAACATCAATAAGTTTCATTTTTCAGAGGTAAATTGTTTTATAATGTTTTTTTTAAATAAAAAAATAAAAATAAAGAGAAAGAATATTGATAAAATACATAATATTCTATACCGGCCATAATATCGGATAACTCTATACTTCTCGAATAAACATGAATATATTTTGTATATTAATAATTAATAACAAATAATTGTTGCACATTTATTATTTTTCCAATTTGTTTTATTTATAGTTTCATATATTTTATACATGAAATATTGTTGTAAAGGAATTTTATTTTATAAATATTGTAGAGAAAAAACAAATATTAAAAGAATGGAAAAGTATAAGGCTGTAATTACGATATTGACTTTGTTACAAAATAGGTTTCTCAAATCTGTAAGGATAAACCATGTCAGCTTGGAGTTGATGAGGCTGGTCGTGGCCCAGTTTTGGGTCCAATGGTTTATGGTATCACATATGCTCCATTGTCTCAGAAACAACTGCTTGTTGATCTAGGCTGTGCTGATTCCAAGAGCCTGACGGAGAAGAAACGCGAAGAGATCTTTAATAATATCTGTAAGCATAAGGATAATATCGGTTGGGCAATTGAGGTAATATCGCCGAATGTTATTGCCAACAACATGTACCGTCGTACCAAAATTTCACTAAATGAGATCTCTATGATGTCGGCTATAAACTTGATCCAAGGAGCAATCAAGGCAGGTGTAAATGTTACTGAAATTTATGTGGATACCGTCGGTAAACCTGAGTCTTACCAAATACGGCTGGAAAGCGTATTTCCCAACGTCAAAATAACAGTGGCAAAAAAAGCAGACGCAACTTATCCGATTGTTAGTGCTGCTAGTATATATGCCAAAGTGTCGCGAGATCATGCAATACGAGCATGGCGGTTTCGTGAAGGTGAGGGCATTAAAACAGAATATGGTAGCGGTTATCCCACTGATCCAGTAACTAAAAATTGGTTATCTGCGAACGTGGATCAGGTGTTTGGCTTCCCACAGCTTGTTCGGTTCAGCTGGTCCACTGCAGAACAGATTCTCGAATCAAAAGCACTGACAATAGAATGGGAGGAAACAGAGAAAACTTCCAATGACCAAAAGATTTTAAAGTTTTTCGTCAACCTTCCTACTAAATCATCTAACATTCATACAAAAAAACATCGGTTTTTCACTGAACGTTGTCTATCCAATACAACTATCTTATGATATTTGCTTTATACTGATTTCTTTCCTTCTCATTATAATTATATAATACGATTTTAAAAATCCTTAATTTAATATAAAATTTTATAGTAATTATAATATACATAAGGTAACTAAAAATTTAGGGGTACAGTCGAATGTTTTGAAAACAAAACATTTTTGAGAAATATGTTTTTTAAAAATGCTATATTTTAGACAAAAGTTGTAGGGTTTGAGAAGAACTATCTATTGATTCTCAGTTTAATCTTAGATGGCGTTGGCAAGATCAAATCAAGATTACATTGTTTATTTTTTTGAATAAAAACTTATTTTTTATTGCATATTTTTATAACTTATTAGAAGAGCTTCTCAAAGCACTATAACAAAATATCTTTTCATCAAGTATGTTTTGAGTTATAAGGCTTAAAAGTTATAGTACTACCGGCATTAACATTATCTAAGGTGTCTGATTGATGATTAAAATGTTCAGGATTATGATCTTGACATTATATGTCAAAGTCAAAGCCATTATTATTTTTATGTAAAAATAAAAATGAGAAAAGAACCTCTAAAAGTCTTGATCTTGACATATAAAACAAATATTTAACGAAAAAAATATTTTGTTGTGTTTTAAAAGTTAATTTTTTTTCAAATGTTTTCAAGGTAATCGACTGTATCCAAATTTTTCGTCTACCATTCAATTTTTTTATATATATATATTTATAGTATCAGTTTTTATAATTAATCAGGACATGGATGAGATATTAAGAATAAAAGTGTATTGAACAAATGTTTTCTTTTTAAACGTGTCATGTCCACGGAGTAATAAGGAGATCAAGCTGATCGAAGCGCGCCTGTCGGAAAACACATAGAAACACATCGAAATGTAGGTTAGCAAAATGTAGGTAAGAGAGAGATAAATATATGTCACATGACAGTCAATACTTTCAACTTTCCCCACAATGGCGCTAAAATCGCATCTTCTCGATTTTCCATGGAGTTTTCCAAAACCGTGTTTCGACAGCCAATCTCAAACTTGCATTTTGAAATCAATGCTTCAGATTGGCTGTCGCAACAAACTTACGATCGGTTTGCAACTAATGGTAGAACCGGCTAAACGGAACGCAGCCATTTATCGGCGGCGGCGACAGCGTGGAGCGGCGGTGCATGGGTCTAAACGCGGCCCAAAAGTAACGGTGCAATCGAGCCCAAGTCGATCGTGCTTCTTCTATATATCTAGACTCTAATTGATACATGGGTATTGCGCATAGCTATCTCTCTCGCATAAATATTGGTTTCACGTTTTAACGCTCAACTCTTCTTTCATGTTTATATAAGAATATAAGTATGTTTTAATATCTAGGGAGAACAAAGTAAAAAGAAATAAAACAGGAAGAATTAAAGTAATAAGGAGGATAAAATAATAAGAGAAAGCAAAAAAGAAAAAAATTCTAAATTCTGATTAAATATAATAATACAAAGAAATATTCTATTTGTCATACACATATAAAACGCCATTTATTTATAAAACAAGAACATTACTTATGTTTTTCCACATAATCTGTAGCCATCTGCCGTACGCGATTTACAGCCTCGGACGTACCATATTTTTCCTCAAAATTAATAAATTTCATGAAAAGAATTTTCATTTTCCTTGGTGAAAGTGTTTGAACGCACGCCTGTTCTAACACTTTTCTATAAACAAGCAAAACATATATTAAATAACTAATATAAAAAAATTAATTTCATAAAATGAATATATCCATAATGATAAATATTCATCGCAAGATACGTTTGTAATAAAGCGGTAGAATTTGTATACCTAGCTAAATCGATGTCGTTAGATTTTATCAAGCAATCTATATAACACGACCACACGTCGATGCGTTTTGGATAAGAACTCAGGATGTTTTCGAATAACGTTTGTGCTCGTTCCTTATCTCCTAGTTTGTTTTCTAAGTTTGCAAATCTCACCAACAGGTTTACATCTGTATAAACAAATATAGCCTATAGTTTTATTATTCATATAAATTATAAAATTATGATACTGAAAATTGTATATATAGGGTGTCTCAGAATTGACGGTAAATATTTTATATAGACAGATTCTTTTCGTCATATTTTAAGATAAAAAGTGTAATACAAAAATGTCGAGATTATGATAGTTTTCAAATAGAAACAATTTAAAAATTACGAAGAATGTTTTTCCGAACTTCACACATCCAATAAAAAAAATAAAATTCAGCACTTTCACGTTAACCACGTTCCTGTTCCAAACCACGCGATATTCTAATAATTCTGTCATTCGTGTAATTTTTAAACTCATTTGATAACTATCATAGCCACGACCTTTTTGTATTAGTCTTTTCATCTTAAAATCTTACGAAAAATCTGTCTTCAAAATATTTATTGCCAGTTTCGGGACTCCCCCGCTCCCCCCCCCTCTCTCTCTGGGTATGTGCGTGCATGTGTGTACACACGCATATGAAAGCTAAAGCGATATAATGTACGTATACTTACGCTGAGACACAGGCAAAGATTGCAATGCCCGTTGCATAATCTGCCGTGATTCTTCTTTCATGCCGATTTTCAATAACGCAGCGCCGCAGTCTATCCATGTCTGGGGATCTTGTTTAAACTTACTAATCACGGTATCTATCAATTTCTGAAGCTCGATTTTTCTACCGGCATCTGCGTGTATAGTCAACATGTGCATATATACTTTATATGCATCATTTGTTCTCACAGCTTCCTGAAATACATCATTTAAGGATTCGGCGTTGCCGTATCTGGATTCCAGATTCAGCCATGCGTTCCATACATTTAAACGTTCGTTTTCTTCTCTGAAATTTATCGTTTTAATTGCACGTTTTGCGACTGCTCTCGCCTTGTCGATTTCTGTTGCTTGCAAATGATATGCCATATATTGCAACCACACTAACGAGCTATCAGGGCTCGACAAAATTAATCTGTCGAACTGATCGATCGAATTAGGTGCCTGATTGCTCACCAAAGCTTCCTCTCGCTGACGAATCTCCCGTTCTTCCTGTCGTTCCTGTTCCCGTCGCTCAGTCGCATTCAGTTTCTTCTTCTTTTGTTTAAGGTCTTCTTTGAGCTCTTGCTCGTCATCGCTAGACGTTTCAGCATTAGAAAAAACGGCCAATTTTGTTTTGTCATCCCAAGAAAATCCAAGTTCTGGAATACGCAATCGTCCCGCTAACTTATTCGTTTCTATTTCACTTTCATCAACAGAATCTTCGTTTGATTCAGAGAGAGAATTTTGATCTATATCTATCAATGCGCAGTGGCATTGCACATTGTGTGAAAGTTTGCGCATGCGCGCATCGTTTGTAATCAAGAAAAATACAAATGTCAGACAACATTATTAAATCACATTTTTACGTATATACCTCACAAAATTTGAATACTGTTCTTCGATTTTCTTTATCTTGAGGACTGAAACAATTTCGAACACAGCACACTCGCTCGGATATCGTAAAGCCCATGACACAAAGAGAAACGTAAGGCCGTAAACGTAATCAGTAAGCGAATTGACCAATCACAGTTGAGAACGTAAGCAGTCACTGCTTACGTTCTCAACTGTGATTGGTCAATTCGCTTACTGATTACATTTACGGCCTTACGTTTTTCTTAGAGACCTAGAAAACAGAGATGCGTCATTGAAGGGTATGGCTTGATTGGCTGTCTAAATCACGTGATCAGAGCCATTTTAATTCACTATTGCATCTAATAGATATAGTTTTATAACGTATGTATGTACATATATATATAGAGAAAAATTTAGACAATACAGTGTCGAAGTGCAATAAAAAACTATTTTATTTTATTTTATGCCGTTTGTATTAGCAAGCTTCCGTCTCGCCTGCCACCATGATTTTACGCTCTTCGTAGTATAAGGTCTAGCCATATATGTAATACTACTATATGGCTAGATGAGAGAGAAGTCCATGTCCCAGAACCACGGTGCGGGAATATACTTCTCTCTCTTTCTCAGCGTACTTTGAACGTTGTGCGCATGCGTCGGATTCATCCCCTCCATCAATAATAAATAGAAGGATAAATATACATATATGTGTAAGGAAGAAGGAAAAAGTGATTGATTCCGCTTCAGGGTATAACCTTGTTACAGTTAACAGAGTCAGTTTAGTCGGTCCGAGTTCTAGCATCGTGGACACAAGGCTTTATAGGGACTCTATAATCCACCAATCAAAACTGGATATCTTATTGCTAGACTCTGTTAGAGGTTCTCTAAACGCGCCCAAAGAGTTTTTTTCTGTAATCACAAAATGCTCCTGCGCACTACTGTCCTCTGAAGAAGCAGATGTGAACTACATAGCAATATTCACTCTTTTGCGGTATCCCTGATGAAAATAAATTGCTGAAAACGTTAAAATCTCTATTAATTTGATACATTTCAGTTATTTTAGCGATTTTTTTCCATCAGGAACAGCGCAAAAAAGTGAATATTGCTATGTAATTGACATCCATTTCTTTAAAGAGCGGTAAAACTGATTAGATCGTGCGGCCTAAAGCGGGGAGCACAGACTTTTGCATAACGCATAAAGCATGTGCATAAGGAATTTCATTGGTCATTTTCTTATGCATGAGTCAGTGGACCAATCAAATTCTTTATGTATATGGTTTATGCGTTATGCAAAAGTCTGTGCTCCCCGCTTAAGAGAGTTCAGGGATCTTGAAAAAGATCCCTTACCTAAGCGAGGTTATAGCTATTTACACCGTCTAAAGACTTATAATCAAACAAAGACATAGAGAATGGACTGCGCGATCCCGTATCTAAGTAGTATCAAAATGTGTCGACGAAAATGAGAGAGAGGGTCCGTGGAAGACGGCCATCTCTATCTTTTTCCATTCGATGGCGTAATGGAAGAGAAAATGAGAGGGAGATGGCCGTCTTCCACGGTCCCTCTCTCTCATCCCTATCGATCATTTTGACACACGGATCGCGCAGTCCATTCTCTATGTCTTTGTAATCAAAGATGTGCCAACCGCGAACGGTCCGTGATTGGTCCACCATTGCGTATCCGTGCCAACCTGACCTGCCTGACGCTGTCAGGCTAGGTTAGAGTCCTAAATATCAGAGAAGCGCAACCGATGTTCCGCGTCCTGATTAGCTGATTGTCAGCCAATCATGACATATTCATTCAGTGGTAATAAAAATGGCTGACTAATAGACGATTGGTGGATTTCATATTTCGTCTGCAAACGACACCATTTTTATTACTTTTCTTAGTAATTTTGCGATACTGACTTAAGACGGTTGCGCTTCTTTGATATCTAGGGGTGCGTTCCGAGTCGCGCATGAAGCGCGTAGACTGCATAGAAAGTCGTTCCGAGTTAACTATTGCGCGCTTCGAAAGCGCTTCGAGAGTACTTGAATTCCCCAGATTGTACTAACCGTACTGAATTCTTAGCACTCACTCAGCGCATTGACTGCTTCTCTTTCGACCTGAGGCAGTTGATGCGTCTGATGCGTTCATGCGGTCTATGCGCATGATTTGTAATTCGGAACGAGCAACGAGTACCGGACAATACAACAATGAACGGACGAATATTTGCGATTTGCGATGAAACAGCGATTACAGCAATTGCATGATTTCCCGGTTTTATTAGAGGATAAAAATAAAGTATTAATTTTATTTTTAAATGAAGAGGATATGGCGAAAGTAAGCCAAGATAAAATTAATGGCATTATTCAACAAAAATTAAAAGGGCGAAGTAAGAGTCAGAAGTAAATTATATTTAAAATAATATTAAAATGTTAACATATTTACAATAGAAATATTACAAAAATTGCTTAACAATTGTTACGCGCAGCATGTTTTTAATTTTAACAATTGTTACGCGCAGCATGTTTTTAATTTTAAGTAACGGGCATAATGTTTTTAATTTTAAGCAATTTTTTGTAATATTTCTATTGTAAATATGTTAACATTTTTAAATTATTTTAAATGTAATTTACTTCTGACTTTTACTTCGCCCTTTTAATTTATGTTGAATACTTTCATCAAAATTAATGGCATATTATTTTACCTTGATTTATTTAATGTATAGATTAGACGTTATATTAATTAGGAATTACGCGATCGACGTAATCAATAATTTTTTCAACTCCAATTTGTTTTCCACGTGATTTATCTACTATTAATAGAAAAAATATTTTCTGCGTATCACTTAGAGATATGCCTTCGACTTCATTTTCACTATCGCTCGAGTCGGAACTGTCATCGGAACTTTCATCATTTTTCTTTAAAAGTATTAAAGAAGAAATTACAATTATTAGAAATTGTTTATTGACGTCTTGTATAGCGTCCATCTTGAACTCGCATAGCTCGCACAGGAAACCGGTCCGAATTCATAAGCGCTTCATGCGTGTTATGCGCGCATTGAAAAAACGGAACAATTTCAAAGTGTTGTGCATCAGTATTGCAGTCCACGCGCTTCATGCGCGACTCGGAACGCACCCTAGGACTCTAGGCTAGGTGAGAAGTTGGGTACAAGATGTCGGACAGAAGTAGTGATGGGGGACAGTTGGCGCATTTTTTATTATAGGTCTTTACATCGTCGCGACCTGTCGTGTTAAGGTTAGATTTAGAGTATAGTTGGCAGCCTAAACGTAGGGTGTAAACTAGACCATTATATCTTATGCCTAGTTCATACTGGATGCGATGGGCGATGAACGATGAGCGATAACCAATAAAAGCTTTGCTTTAGCTCACACGACGATGTAAAGAAGAGTTCTTATTGGTTATCGCTCCTCGCGCATCGCTCATCGCGCCTAGTGTGAACTAGGCATTAGGCGTTTTCGACCCGGGCGGGTTTGCTTTAATCCGGTTGGACGTTTCATGCTCTCCTATTGGTAGAGCGTATAAAATCCACCAATAGCAAAGTACTTTCTAATCCAAATTGGAGCAAACCTGGTTGGGTCAAAAACGCCATAAGATTGAGATTAGATTGGAATTTAACCAATCAAAACAAAGTTCACAAAATTTGAGATTAATTTTTTCTTTTTTGATTAAATTCCAATTTAATCACAATTTTTAGTTTGGAGCCCTATTCTTAAAAAGTATTGCATACGTAAAACTAAGGAAATATTATTGTATATATTAATCATGCCTTTAGAGGGTCTCTATCTCATAATATAGGGAGCTTTCCTCTAATAAAGATTTCTTTTAAAAAATCAATGTTACTTTCAATGTCTTTAATTACGGTTTTATTAGATCGATGTACAGTACATTTCGGAAGAGATTTACGCAATTTACTAAAGAAAATATTTCTGCAGATTAAAGATTAACAATATTGTTTTTCTTTTTAATTTGATGATATTATATAGTATGTTACTTTGAAACATTAAATTAAAGATATAAGAGTATATATATATATATATATCGTCCGACTTAGGATCACACACACATACACACATACACACACACACACACACACACACACACACATGTAAAGGTATATACAACATATATACAAGAGCATATGGCTTTATAACTATCTTAGATAAAGAGTGTGGCAAGTTTCATTTATGAAACCTCTATACATCGTGCCACTGTGATTAATTAATAATTAAAAATGCTTGGCGTGAAAAGTTCGAAAATCTTTGGTAAACACACACTACACAATCACACACGTCGTACAATTATTCCTAGGATATTATCTCATTGTCAGTAACGTATGATTAATAGCGACTAGATCGTTAAGGGCTACGATATAGTGGCAAACAGACAATTTGTTTTTTGTGTTGTGTCGCTGCTTCTGCTTAGTTGTATGTATGTATTATAGATTCTCGATTCATATTATTGTAATTTATAGAGGCACACGCGCGGCGTATAAGTTTAGTATCGTATGCGTTTTCTTAATTAAATATTTGCCGTCCTCCCTGCCTCCCTTCCTCCTCCAAGCGCGAATCGAATGTTCAATATATTAATAAATTATTCTTATTGAATCTCATAAAAATCATTTTTTAATATTTTTAAGTATTATATCTAAATTTAAAAAAATTATATTTAACAAATCGCTGAAAAAACATTAAAGTATTTTAATATCATAAGTTGTATGCTGATATCCAATTTAAAAATTTATGAAGAATTTTTTCGTGTATAGTTAAATCGTTGATATTGTATTGTCTTGAAACTCAGTTGCACTTACATTTTATCGTTCCAGACGTGGCACGGTTAATGAAAATTCAATAAAACGTAGACTCGCGTCATAGTTTACATGGTAGATATGCGTTAGCCACACACAGAGATATTCAAACGAAATGCACGCGCGTGTGTACCTGAAAAAAATTGATTTATGTACCTTACGCATGAGTTGCTGTAAGCAATGTAAAAAGTTGCGACTTCGAATTTTCATGATAAACAATAGATCAATGGCAGTGCATATATATGTATAATTCTTCGATGAATACGACAACAGAATAATGGGTCTGTCATGCCTTTTCATGCACTGTACGCAAGACATAATTCGTGTAACGCGAAAATTGAACAACCGAGTCGCCGAAAATTTTTTCAGTAATTTTTTTTATCCCTGGAAAAACAAAATCTATCGCCCCTCTATAACGAAAACTCTTCCTAAAGATTCAAGTAAAGTCTAACATAATTCGAGAAATAGTGTTGTCTGTCTACAATTATTACATGATTTCTAACTCCATTAATTGCAATTATAAAAAAATATAAACAACATGGATAATTTTATATTACGTAATCATATCGCGTTACGAGGATGGCTTCCACAGGCCTAGGGGATGAGCACGAAGGATGAGTGGTATCTTCAATCCTTACCGTAACATCAATAATCCCATGATCACCAACATAACGCATGGTCCTAATGTTATGCTTCCGCTCGCTAAAAAAGAAAAAGCCAAGATATACGTAGTGTTTTCTGAAAGAGGAATATTTCATAATATTCAGGAAAAGTTCAAAGTTTAAACATTTTGAAATTGAAACTTGGTTATAAGTGAATTTGGTTAGAGCGATTTATGATTAAGGGTACCGATAAAAAGGAATTAAAAGAAAGTAACATAAATTCTACAAAATTGAATTCTTAATCTTTCGATCATTTATGCGTCTGTGGTTCAGCGTGTTATAAAATTCTTTCCTTTTATTTCTTTAGAGAGCTATCCCTAAAGCTAATATTACATTCATCCGTTTTTTACACGTCAAGCTTTTCAAGCCTTGTAAATTCGCTGCAGGACAAAGAAGTTCTTGGATTTCTCCGTTCTACAGCCAATTAACACGTTAGAAAAATTTGTCGGACGACAAATGTAATATCCACTTAAAGCCTGTTCTACAATAGAGTCGCAAGCCGTAAACCGTATAAATTAATCAATTTTAATTGATTATTTTTGTCATATTCGACTATGATTGGCCAATTTCTTACAGCTTACGATTTGTGACCTTATTGTAGAACAGGCATAAAGTGGGTTTTGCGCGAAACGAGTTACGTGTTTGTGCTTTGGCTTGCACGATAGAACTAAAACAGCGTATCAGGGAGAAATGACGTTGAGTTGCTGAACTATCCGCGCGTCGGAACAAGCTTCGAGTTAGAAATGTTAAACCAAAAGGGTTAGATCCATTATTTCGGTCACTAAGCCCTTTTCATGACTACAAAGCTTATATTTTTTTACAACTTATAATTAATATTAAAAACCGAACTCTATGAAAAACATCAGTTTTTTCAACGCCTTGAAAAGCAATTCTTATCCCTTTAAAACTCGAAATAGATAAATGGCTCTTCAAGACCAAACTGCGTTCCAATTTTTGATATTAATGTAAGCAAAATCAAAATGTCACTCGGATAAATAAGAATCATTTATACTACTGGCTGTAAATCTATCCATAAATAATATTATACCTATAATATCAACACTTTGTATATTTAAATAAATTTTATTTCAGAGAAATAGAACCGATTACTTTCAGACTTGCAATACAATCAATTTGAAATAATAATAATAATACCTCAAATTTTAAATTAAATCGTTTATTTGATGGTAGTAGCGTTTTAAAACCTGTAAAGAACTTATTGCGGAAAATATTACCTAAGAGAATTCGAACCTTGATCTCTCGTATACTGCGAGTGTTCTCCTAATTTACCATCGAAGCATGTCCAAATTCGAATCCCGGTTGAGGTAAAATTTTTTGCAATTAATTCTTTACAGATTTTAAGATGTTAGTAGCATCAAATTGACAATCTAATTTTATTTGGAGGGATTAATATTAGTACAGTTTGATTGTGCTACAAATTCGAAAGTAATGGCGCGCGAAAGTAATTTCTGAGATCAAATTTATTTCAATATATATATATTTAAATAAATTATATACATATACAGGGTGTCCCATTTTAAAACTTCCACGCGATTATCTCAGAAAGAAGGCGTTTATCGAAAAAATGTTTCAGACAAAAGTTGTTTGACTCGAAGGGGGACATAAGATGGTGCCATCGATTTGACCTTGGATAGTCCTCTGAAGGTTACGTGAAGGTCACCTTTAATTTTTTAAATGGAATTATGTAATTTTTTTTAGATAACGTGATTCCTCTAATTATTTTGTATATGAAAGTATTAAGGTAGAGATACCAAAAAACCAATAGTTAACGAGATATTTTACATTTTATTTTGGTACATATTGACACAAAATGTTAAATAAATCGTGAAATGTTGACTTTTTGATTATCGTACTTTAATACTTTTGTAAACAGAATAATGAGATAAATCAAATGGTGTAAAGAAAACACATAGTTACGTATTTAAAAAATTATCCATTTTGCATACATTTTGTTTTAAAGCAACTATGTGTTTTCTTTACACCATTTGATTGAGCAGTAGAAGATAAACAAAGATCAAATCTGTTTTTTTAAATAGAATGATTTTTTTATTTATTCTGATAGAAAAAACGTTCTATTAGAATGTAAATAAAAAAATCATTCTCTTTAAAAAAACAGATTTGACCTTTGTTTATCTTCTACGCCTCCACCTACAAAAAAGTTATTAAAACAAATACAGTTACCTATTTTTGAAAATCATTTAAGGTTGCACAAGGTCGTTATATATATATATAATATATATATATATATATTTCATTAATTTATTTATTTGGATACATACCGTTACAAGTGTTTAAAATTATAATTCTGAACGTGGATGCATTTTCTGAATCTGTCGATACAGATAACACGACGAATTTTATTCGGATCAATCGCAATGCAAGCTCTTCTTATACGCTCCTTCATGTTTTCTCTGGTTATTGGCATTTCGCTGTACACTTGTTGTGTTTTAACTTTTCCCACAAATAAAAATCCATAGGTGTTAAATCTAGGAATGTGCGAGCCATCTATTATTTCATGACCGACCAATCTCTGAATTTACTGTTTAGCGATTCATATAATCTGTGCAGAATAAGCAGGACGTTCATCTGCTGGTAGGTACTATGGTATATTGATTATCATTCAGTGGAAGATGTTCTAATAATAATAGCAATATTTCTGCTAAAAGTTGTGCATATTTGCAACTATTTACTGTCTCATCGATAAAATGAGGACCAATTATTTTATTATTAAACAGATATTAAAAAAATTTTGACCCAGACGTTTATGGACTATAAGGTCTCTGCCTGTCTTTTTTCAGCCGGTATGGATTTTCTATTGACCAATAGTGCATGTTGCGAAGATTTATTTGTCCATTATTTGTAAATGTAGCTTTGTTAGTAAATAAGGTTTCAGTGAAAAACATATTATCTTTTTGTAGTCTTTATAGTACCCATTCATAGAATTGTACACGATTTTGAAAATCATTGCTATGTAACTCTTGATAAAGTAAGATATAAAGGGATAAAATTTGTTGGAATGATGTATTCGCAAAAAAGTACTTTGTTGACTAATATGTACCACTTTAACGTTCAAGTTACCTTGTACTGATATGTGAATTAAATGCTACAGAGAGCGCGTAAAATGTTTGTTGAATTTTCGTCGACAGTTGCTTTCTTAACTTGATTAATTTGCGTTTTTTTTATTATCCACACTTCCTGTTTTTTGAAAAGTTTTTATTATATTTAAAAAAACAGAACATAAGGGGGAACAGAACACAATCGGGAAATCTTTCAGTATACAAACGTACTGCTTCTCTCATAATTTGGCGACATTTACCATAGATGAAAATTATATCGACTTTTTCCGCTGTATAACGCATTTTGCAACACATGCACTTTGATCAATAGATAAATTCAAACTGATCAATAAGTACGGATAGTACTATGTGCGATACAATGTTTATATCCACATCATTTATATCAGCGATACACTTGAACGATTACAGAAGCGATATACTAACAAACAGAGAAGACACGAAATTATTCGAAAAATGCCTTGAAACAATTCATTTTCGATTACAGCTGATTTAGGTAACTTTGGATGACCTTCAATTATAGATCACTGTATTTGTCTTAAAAGATTCTATCAGAAATCAAAACGTAAATAAAAAAACATCATTTCATTAAAGAAAAGAGATTTGACTTGCTTATCCTCTACATCTCCATTTACAAAAAAGTTATTGACATCACATCATGTGCGCCTCGAAACCAAGCAACTTTTGTTTATCACTTTTCTATCTATTGTTAAAAACAAGTGAGTTATTCAGTTCGCCTGTTTTTTATGTAGGTGCCTCATCCTATAATTACAACATTTAACTATGAACGTAAAATAGGTTTTCGTGTATTTATTGTTAGTTAATTTAATATAAATCTGTTTCTAAATATTGTTTCTTAATATTGTTAATATTCTGATGTTTGTTAATATTGTTGAAAACATTATTTTAAACGAACGTTTAACTAATATCTAAATAACATAATAAATTTTACGTTTAATTTTATTTATCAGCTTTAACCTACAATTTTATCTTTTTATTTTTGTATCGTGTTAAAGTATCAAGAGATATTTATTATAACTACTAATTAATTTTATAACAATGTATTAATTTTATCAAATAATTGCGAGTGCCAATTTAAAGTGAGGAAGAATTTTTTTTTTAATTTTAATCCATCTTTTTCTATAGAGAAGTAGTGACACGGACAGCTAAATTAAAAGACAAAGAAATCTATATATGTTTGTGCAGCGAAGCAGACATTTCGCTTTTGTTACTCTATATGTCATTTACTCTCAGTCAAGAACCACGAACGAAACTTTCTCTTTTTTTACCTAAGATATGCTCGGCGTGTGTATGCCCTTGCGCCCTTGTCTCCCTACTCTCCATTACCGGTATCTTCAGAGGCCTCTCACCCTCTATGCTGAGCTCATTCGATTTCCAATATACGGTATATATTCTCGCCAGGCATTTGATCTTCAAGTCTCCCTTATTGAAGTGCTTCAAGCGCAGACGGAACTCTAGACCGAGTGTGGAAGTCTCCAGATCGTTCCGGTCCACGTCGACGGGGTAGGACTTCAAGAACTGCTGCTCAACCTAATCGAAGTGAAGAAGCAGGACTGTAGTATATTCTCTCTCGATCTGAACGGATGATGATGATAACGGATTTCCTTCGTCAGAAATATTGGTTGGAATAAAAGTTCGTAGTACTACTTCATTTGTATCGTGTACGTGTATCTAGGTACGTATTTTTTTTAATTTAGACATTTATACTATTCGAAAGAATAAAATTTCGGTTTTAAGAATTTTTAATTGCGGTACGCGATGATTTTTAATGGAGTCTTGAGGCAATTAAAGTCAAAATATTTCTTTTTTTTTAATCCATAACTCAGTAACAAAAGTTCTTAGAAATACTTTTTTTAATATTATTTTGTAGAGAAAACTTTAAGCGTTTATGTTAGAATGTCAAAAATTTTCTGAAGTTTTTCTTTTTAGGTTATGTAAAATAAGTCACAAAATGAGGAAAAAGTTTGCAATTTTGTCGAACTTGTAGTTTTTTTTATATATAATATACATAAAAAAATTGTCAAATTTACAGAAACTCAAAAGACATGATCTCTCAAAAAGCTGATCTCTCAAAAGTAAAGTTACTCATCTTTTTTAAATTTAAATAATTTTTAATAAAGTTATAAATACTTGAATTTTGAAGTTCGTAGCACGAACTTTTGTTCTAATTCAATACTTGCTAGCGCGTAATCAGCATGATTTAAATCGTTCAAGTTTTTTACGGTCGACATATTTTTAAAATTTTACGGTATAACGATATATTTTTTAAATTTTCAAACTAGTTTCCTGGAAGACCGAAGAATAGTAATTTTGAAGAGATTCTTCCTTAATTCCTAAACACGAATTTTACTTGATGGAACAACATCAGAATAAGAATTGGTACGTAGCAAATCGGTTGAAATATTAAACTGGAATGGAACAAGATAATGTTACGCTCATTAATAAGCAATGATGTCAACAAGAAATTAAGCAAGGAACAAATGGTAACGTTTTGAATATGCGAGGTCACTTTAAGAATCATTTTATAATAATATGTTCTCAAATATATATTTTTTTCCTTTTTTTAAATTAAATGTAATAACGTCGTCAGTACTTATCATCGTAAATTAAATACACTGCATTATCTGTCTAATCTACTTTGTTCCAGGAAAACTGACTCTCTTGACCCGCGAGCTTCCTGAGAGCACTACGTAAACTTTTAATATCGTTCAGCAGAAGATTGTTATCTTTCTCGTTAAATTTTGTTACAACTTTTGTGATAAAAATTAAGAAGCACTCTAACATACGATACTAATTCTAATCATGATAATGAAATTATTCAATGTTTTACTGTTGCGCACGCGCGCGTGCAACATTCACATTTCTTCGCCTGCATCATAATATTTTTCATGTTTATTAGACACGAATTTTATATAATTTTCTAATTTCGACACGTTATTTATATCGTAATTTACAGACCATCCTTTCTGAATACTGCAAATAAAGATTATCCAATAAAATACATTTCGTATTTATGTTGAAAACGGTTCACTCAAGCCCTTGTTAAAATTTTTTGTTGAATTTTAAACATACTCGAGTGTTAATTTAACTTAACGTGAATTGAGTAATTCGGGTTAAATTAATATTCAACATTTTTTAATATCACAAAATAACACAGTTTTTGAGTAAATAAACAAATAATAAATATGTTTTAAAACATATATATAAATTCTTTATAGATGAATAAAGAAAATATGTGTTAATTGAACATATCAGAAATGTAAATTTTATTGAAAAAAGATATGCTCCCACGGTTTGTTTACAAATTGTGTTAGTATTAGCTTTTTTATGTTTATTTTTTAAAATAATATTTTCGTTACCTTTTTCTTAACATATTCAGCTTGTGTTAAATTAATAAAAATTTGAGTGGATAGTTTAGGAGGGGGGGGAGGGGGGGCACGTGAAATGTGTTAAATTTAACATCAATTTTCCAACGATGATCTTTTAATCTAAGATTATCGATTCTAACTCCGATTAAATATAATCCCGTTTTTAATAGCTCACGGTATAACGCCAATGCTAAAAGACTAGGTATATATAAACAGGCGATTTTGAATACGCGCGAGTGTCCGCTCGCAACCTGAAGATTAATTACCCAAGAACTAATTATTTGTTCACGTATGAAAAATGAAAAAGCTTCGCGCACACCATACAATGCACTTTGTAAAATTAATTTTCGAGCTTTGTTAGCGCGTAATCGTGGATCAACGAGACATTAACAGTTACATTGGTGGTCGTTGCAGATGTTTGCGTTTTCGCGAAAACACGAAATTCATCATAATAGAAAACTTTTGACAGAGCGTTTAAAAGAGGAGAGAGAGAGAGAGAGAGAGAGAGAGAGAGATTAAGAAAACAAAAAATTGAGAGGTAATTATGTTTTGTCCCTTGTGATCGTATAATAATATCAAATACGGTTCTATAAATGTAACTTCGTATTATGATGATATTATGATAATGAAACATGTTATATTACGAAGAAAAAGTCTTTATTAAAATAGACGTGAAGGTTTAAGGACTACATGACATACAAAAAACTTAGGCAGTAAAACGTAACCACCAATCACATTAGAGTCCCTAAGGTCATAACGTAAGCAATCCAACATGTTGATTTCCTTACTGCTTACATCTTATAATAAAAAATAAAAAATTATTTTCAATTTAAAACGATTATAACTTATTTCTTATATGTAGAAGCAACAATATACAATTTTTTTAAAGAATTTGATAATCTTAAATTTCAACAATATTATATTGCTATATTAAATCATATTTTCTTATAGCAATAATATTATATTCTAATTCCTGATTTGAAGATACTGTAATTTTTTATTGTGATATTATTTCCTCTCAAATTAAAAAAATTATTATTGAATAATAAAAATATATTTTTCTTGATATATAAGTATATATATGTACATCAAATTTCTTCGTGCAAGGAAATTATATCGATTTAACGTTAAGTAATCTTATTTCAAGTCTTATATGTCAAAAATAAAGATATTTTCAAAATAAGAATAGTCTTTTTTCTGTGTACTTGAATTTTGTTTTAATTAAATATTAACAACAGTCAAAATAATATAAAATTAAATATTGATTTAAAATTTAATTATGTAATTAAAACTTTATTACTATACGTATAAAATGGAATAAATAAAGAATAGAATTTTCGATCCTGTAATAAATTATCTATCTTGAAAAAAGTCAAAATAATATGAAGTATTTTTTTATCCTTGAAAAATTGAAAAATAATTAGAGAATGAAATACGTAACACGTGATAACGAGAGACGTTTCTAATTAATAATGGTATTAATAGTTACAACTATTTAAAAAAATTTGTAGGTAGCCTCTTTTTGTTACTCAACTGCATCGTACGTAAGCGTGTGCCAATCTTTAGAATCCTAGACTATTCTAAACGGATTTTCCGGGATCATGGCGTATCTCGGACGTTGCCGTGAACCTTTTATGCTTGCGACGACCTCAGAAGACATTCACAGTTGCGGTACAAAGGCAAACAGAGAAAGCAAGAGGAAGAGAGAGAGGGAGAGAGAGAGAGAGAGAGAGAGAGTCGCTTCGTGTCTCAAGCACTCACAGGGTCGCCGTTGATGAACCAGCTGAGCGTGGCATGTGGCTTCGACCTCGTCGAAGTGCAATTGAACCGCACGACATCGCCGACTTGATAACGATGTTTCCCGGGTCGCGCCGTGATAACAGGTTCGTCTTCTGGGAGGGCTGGAAATATGTAGATATACGTAAAATAGTCTGTTGTAACAAAACGGATATAATGTTTTTCGATTAGATAAAATGACCGGGTTTTTTCTGGTTTCACTCGAATATTTTTACACAATACCGCTCAAACCATAATTTTCGATAATTTTGTTGCGGGGAGTTTAATTTGTTTACGTTTACCAACGTGGAACTTTAATGGAGTAACACTTTGCTGTAATCATTACATTCAATACAATGCATTTAACTTTATATATTATATGACAGATATATAAACATACGCACGGAATAACTGGTTAGCAGGCACAAAAATTGGAGCAATCGAGATCTTGTCCCTCGGCAGTAAAGAGAATAAATAATAATCAAATCCGCGCGTCCTGGATTAAAAGAATTGGATGGAAAACCAGCGGTGAATCTTATTTAGATTTAAACGACTAAAGCTCCACGTAGTTGTGCTATAGAAATCTTTTCAATCGATATTTTTCATACGATATTATTAATAAGTATTCAATTTGTGAAGAATATTGTGCAAGCGTTGGTAATATTCGAGTTAGGAACAATTGAAAATAAGAAAGCATGGGCAGATTTTATATCAAAATGAATTTAATGTTTAAGAGTTCATTGTGATAAATATGTAATTGAAAGTGAATATCGATTTTGAGTTTATGTTCGTGATTGAAAAAAGGTGCTTTACTTCTGGTGCTCACGATATATAATAAAATAATTAAAACTAACGAAAAAATTTTCAAACAAAAAGTCAAAGTCGCATTACTGTCGCAAGAATGAATCATCAGTAATTCATCACTAGTCGTAAAGTATATTTTTGAGGGATAGATAATGTTCCTTCTCACAGATTAAAACTGCGTGACGAAATTAATTCTTTCGGAAGTATTAGAACTGCGATTTGTTTTAATTCGCGCGTAAAGTGGCTTATAAAATCTTCAAAGCCGTTAAAATATCTAATCCGGTGATAAAAAATCTCTCTTCTTCCTTTTCTTCTTCTTGACCGTGAAACCGAAATCCCTTCATCAAATGACTCGTACAAATCTTTGTCTCGGAATTAAACTGTTCTATAAAATATATCTCACAGCGTGGGCTACATACGATAAATGTGATAAATCTCTTCTTCGTGATTTAATTTTAATTCAAACATGAATAAAGTCATGATGAGTCGGCACAATTTCCTTTTTCTTTTCGATGGACCGTGATAACATTTGCTCGTATAATGAGAATCGGCGAAGAAGAATACGATGTAATATTACAAAGTTTGCGAGAGGCGTGGATTGCCATTATTACGTGATTTCTTAGACAGATGAAATTTTTAATTAATACTAATCTGTTTGCAGTCACTTCTTACCGATTACTGTCATATCCGAATGGTCGGAAACGGTTTGGAAAGATGGCGCCTCCGCTGAAACCTCGCATCTGTAGCGTCCCGTACTCATAAGGTTTACGGAACGAAGGACGACTATTCGTTGAGTAGATTCGTGAACCTGAAAGACAAAAAAAGAAGTGCATCCAAAAAAATGTTTTGCCGGTAAGCGGGAAATTTCTCTTAGCATTTCCTCTATAAGCAAAAAATTTTATATGAATTTGGCGCGTATATATTTATAATACATATTCATCTATAAAAATTACACATGAACTATGATCAAAAATAAGTTTTTCTATAGAAAATATATTAAAAATATATAACTTGAATAACCTTTTGAAATAAGAGAATACACGAGATATATAAAATAAGCGACACGCTTATTTGTTAGAAGAAGTTTGTCATTTACGTGCTACTGTAGCTACGGATACATGTCGGTACATGTAGGATATTCTTCTAGCATTAAGAGAATTGCAATTTTAAATCCAATACCTTATGACGAAATTTCCTTTGTAGTTTCTTTTGAGTATCTTCTTGATGTCGTATACGTATAAATAGAAAATCTGGTATTAATCCAGGACTACTAAATGGCAGAATATTTTTTTGAGTGTAACATTGACATAATGGCCAATTTGTCATGCTGTCAAAGTTTGCAAACTAACTTGATAAAATACATGGGACTTTAAGAATTAAAATCTTCCTTAATGTAATTTATTTATTCTATTGACTAAAAAAAATATATAATACGAAAAACTATCGCATATTCTAGAATCACGTAAAAAATTTCGATTATTTCATACTACAAGGTGAATCTCAAAAGTAAGTTTCTCACCCTAAAAAATATTCTTTTGTTTAACGGTTTCATGTTAATGTTTTATATATATATATATATGTGACCGAAAATTATAAACGTACGTCGAAACGTTTCAAAACAAATGTAAAGGTGCGACCACAATCTCTGAAAACATTGAGGAATAAAAAATTTATACTCGCGATCAAAAATTTCCTACGTCCGTTCTAGGGTCCGGACATGAAATTCAAAGGCACGAGAGTAACGTCCGAGATCTCCGACGCGATAGAAAAAAATATTTCGTTCAAATCGCGTACCCAAAAGGGCACCATATATATATATATAAGAAGTCACGCGCACACTACTATATGTGCTATACTCAACCCGGTATATCAGATTCGATACATCTCTGGTATATTTACGGCAATAATAAAGTTTTGATCTGGTACCGATATGGCACAAATAAGGTTCTGATCTGATACCGATACGGCAAAGAATAAGGTTCTGATCTGGCATCGATACAGCCAAAATAAGGTTCTGATCTGGTGGTACTGATACGGCAAGAATAAGGTTTTGATCTGGTACTGCGATACGGCAAGAATAATGGTTCTGATCTGATACTACAATACGGCCAAAATAAAGTTCTGATCCGGTACCGATACGGCAAGAATAAGGTTCTGATCTGATACCACAATACTGCCAAAATAAAGTTCTGATCCGGTACTGATACAGCAAGAATAAGGTTCTGATCTGATATCGATACGGCAAGAATAAGGTTTTGATCTGGTACCGATACGGCAAGAATAAGGTTCTGATCTGATACTGATATGGCAAGTGTAAGGTTCTGATCTGGAATCCGTTCCAGCTCTTCGATGTGGTGCCCAGCAACTTTTTCCTTTAGCAAAATTGCGTCCAACAAACGGTTTTTGCAAGAGAGCTTTGTTAAAGTTAACAAATAAGCACTCTGATTCATGTAGCGCTCAGGGCCGGCGCGCGCGCCTCACTCCCGTGTACCTAGTCCGTGACCAGTATTCATATGTAATGTCTTTTAAGATGCTCATACGACTCTGTTATGATTAGTTTACGACATCTTAAGGCTCTTGAATACTCAGCCAAGAACTCCGTGTTGATGGTAGCGACACCGAATTAGTCGGTGGCTAGCAAAACTGGTAGTACGCTACTTGTTATACACTGAACAAATGCAAGCTCATGTCTGTGTGCTCATTTTCGGGTAGAAGGGGAGCACACAGACACGGGTTCATGCTTATATGTGTGTATAGCGCCTCGCCATGGTAAAAGGCTGAACTAATAGGCGTGGAAAAGTGATGTTTTGACCAGTTTTGACGACAAAATTTTTCTTGCGTGCCATTTTGTCTATATTTGCTTATTTGTGAAAATGTGACTTCCCTCGTACTCGTGAAAGTCCTAAAAATTGCCGGAAACTGCAGTTATCGTGAAATTTTATACGTAAAAGCGTATATTTCACTCGTTTCATCAGCTGTTAAACTGTGTGATTCTGCCCGAGAATAGGCTCACTTTACGTGTCTTTTACGACCATTTACTGACTATCAGAGGAGGAAAGGACAGTTTCCGGCAATTTTCACAAGTGTTTTTGTGCGATCTCGCCTTTTAAATTTATCCAAATTGTCTTTATTAAAAAATGGGACGCAAGAAAAATTTATGTGTTTTTCTCGCCTATGACGTCACAATTCCAACATGGCCGTCGCCGGTATTCAGGAGCCTTAAAGCATCTTATTGGATCTTAATAATATGTTGAAAGACATATTAAAATTTTAACGATGTAATGTTAAATTAATGATAAATTAAAATCTGTGAAAAAATAAGATTGCGAAGAATATCACAAGTTGGCGTTTCGTCCCGGCTTCCCACTACTAGACTCATCAGTAAGGTAATGTAGTGGGAGCCTACCTTAGACGCCTTGGGGAGATTTTAGAAAGAAGTTCTTTATTAAACAGATACACATGTATCTTGGTACTTGCGAGAATTGGCAAGAGTAACTATAGACCTCTGTTGGCTGGTCGACGAGTGATATTCTGATTTTTTCTGTTTGGCTGTTATGATTGTCAATTGTGATTTTTTCAATAAAATTAAATTTATTTTCTTATTTTCCAAAATGAAGTTCTGACATTAATTTGAAAAATTTGAAACTATTTTTAGAGTTTTCAACTTTTTTAAATCGCACTATAAATAGTTGAGAAAGTAGATAGATCTAATTAAGATGCCGCAGATACTCATTTGTATTGATACTGTATTATTTATTATCTATATGTTATACTGTAAAAATAAATTTTGAGCTTCTAACTTTTCTTCGTAATTAATGTCAATGAATGTTTTTGTGTTAAAAGATGCAATAAATACTTTAGATCGATTATTTTTAATATCAGCTAAAAAGGCTAAGGAATTATTTCCAAAGTGGGATGATCGAACTGAGTTTTTTAATAGAAGAAGCGCGCTCTGAAAGCAAAGACTTCAAAGAACTCAATTCTTGATTTAGAGGAACAAGGGAAAAATATTTTAAATATTCTGAATAATTATACATACACTACTCAATAAAATTAAAGCATCACCTGTTCCATGCTGCAAAAATAGACAAATTTTGAGATAGAATAACTTCATCAAAAATCATCGTATCGAGATTTGTAAAGAAGCATTTTAAAATTTAAAATCTCTACTTTTTATTATTGCAGTGGCTTCAGCAGCATTTTTCTTCAGATGAAACGCGAAGTGGATGGGAAATCGAATATGCTCTTTTGTTATTGCCATCGTGAACACTACTGATTTTTGAGGTTACGTGCATCAAACGCCAAACCGTATGGCATTTTAGAAGGCCAAATGTTAATGCTTTGAAACCGCAAAAGGGCGGGAAGATATATAAAATTTAAATTGTTATTTCGGTTGTATGAAATCTAAAGCTCAGAACTTTTTTGTACACCTAATAATATACTGTATTAAATGCAATTTAAATTTTCATGAAAGGAAAAATATTTCTTTTAGGGTGTATAATATAAAAGAAATATTTTGATGAATTGTTATATTATTATAATTATTTAAATTTATAATATATTGATATTTGAGGTTATATTAGATCATGTGTGATATAATATAATATATAGATAATATCTTAGTTGAAATATTGTATGCAATTTTATATGTTGCAAATAAAACTTAGAATCAAATAATTATATTTAGCACTACAAACGCGTACGACGGTTATAATTATTTATTTAATTACATTTGTATTTTATTCACATTTCCATAATATATTTTTTATTCTATAATAGAATGTTTAGAAAGAAATAAAAAAAAGCATTTAAAGGGTGATACTATTCTAACATATAAAAATAATGACATTTTAAATAAATACGAAAAGAAATATTAGTTGAGATTTTAGCAAGGTGTATGATAAGAATTAATACTAAATTAGTTTCTTTATTACATAATATTACATATATCTGTAATATACATTTAATATTGATAATGTCTTCCTTTTCCCTTTAACCGTAACCTTACTTTTGAAGAATTTAAATCCAAGAATTCGTATCCAAAAATGTATGTGGATCATTTCCAATTGAGACTCAGATCAAATTTCTTTATTTATAAATTTTTAAACCTGATAATATTATCACAAGTAAAATAATTTTAATTTTTTGACAAATATGTAATTTATATATACATCACCTTTTACTAGGGGATCCGAAATTTGCGCATTTGGAGTACAGGACATGATACTTTATGCTAAATCAAACAACTTTTTCCTTTAGCAAAATTGCGTCCGACAAATAGTTTTTGCAAAAGAGCTTGTTAATGTTAACGAATAAGTGCTCTGATCCAATGCTCAGGACTGGCGAACACTTCACTCGCGTGTACCTAGTCCGTGACTAGTATTCATAAGTAATGTCTATTAAGATGCTTATACAGCTGTTATAATTAGTTTACGACATCTTAAGACTGTATTTAAGATATTTTATCTTAAACAATAAAAAAAAACTATGAACAATATCGGCATTTGATCTTTTTCCATATTGTGTTGCATAAATAATGAAAAGTTAATAAAAATAAATACTGCCTTTATATATATTTCTTACGTAATATATGAATAAAAAATTATCTGCTTGCATAATAATAATCTGAAAATAAAGACAAATGTAAATAATTTTACTATTTACAGGACATAAAGACAAATATAAATAATTTTACTATTACTGTTCATAGTATTTCCTTATTATTTAAGATATCATTTGTTAGATTGCTTGTGTCAATTTAACTGAGAAAAGTGATATTACTACGGTAGTCGATTAGAGTTGCGTTGT